ATAGGACTCTTGTGGTACAATAGTGAATAATTGTTATCAGGACTAACTGTGAAGATTAGAAATGTAAAGGTAGACATTTTGTAGCAAAAGGAGGGGAGTGATTGACTTTGCAGTCCAGGAGCAAAGGTCCCTGGGACCATCAAGGGAGAAGAGTGAATTCAGGACCCTACCCAGAGAAACAGTGATACCAGACATGAGACAGAGAAGATGATGTAGAGAGATGGAGTGACTGGGGATTATAGACCCAGAGAGGGAGAGGAGCTGTGTGCTGATGACTTGGGGGCAGGCTCACAGGGAATACCCTTTAGTTGGTTGATGATACACGGAAGGGATTGTAACCATGGCAATGAAACGATCCATGACAGGATGAATGTAAAGCTCATGTTCTCCCATGTAAACTATCACATTATTTACAATAAAACATTTTAAAAACAAACAAAAAACTACCACAGAATGTGGGCCCTTTGGGATTCCTGCCCGACTGGAAACGACTGGAGAAGAAGACAGTGTGTGATCTTGTCTCATCCTACTTCACCATAGGGCACATTGTAAATAAGTGGGCAGCACAAAAATGGTGCTAAGGTCATGTCTGACTTCCCCTGCCGTCACTAGGGAGGAGAATCAAACTCAAGTCAGGCCAAGGCTGATGCCCATGACATGGAGTCAGACATGCTTCTGTCCACCACCTTCTTTACCCCATTCTGACACCGACACTCTCTGTTTCACATCTGGGTTTAATAACCCATTGCAATGGCCACACAGAACTCATAGACAATACTCACGATTATAGTGTTTACTAGGGAACTGAACAGGTCACAACTCAGGGGGCAGCAGTTCTCCAGTCATTAGCCACTCTGCCATGTGGCCCTTCAGCCTCTGCCCTATCAGACAAGCATTACCAAGCCTCCTATATTAGCTTTACTTGGTCCCTGGGCCTAGAAGCCTGAAGCTGCTGTCTGCTTTTCTAGGTAGGGATCTCATGCTCCACTCATGCTCTTCTTTCTTGATGGTCCTGGGGTCATCTCTTCCTGCTTCTGAGACGGCTCCTTTTAACCTAGCAGGATAGCAAGACTAACCAAGGCCAGCACTGGAGTCCTGTACTGCCTGTTTGCATGGGCTCACGCAATCCTTTGGAAGGAATTAAGGTTTCAGATAGGAAAACCGTATCAAGTAAATTCAAGGTATCACAGACAGCTACTGCTTGGACCCTGCTGGGCTGGCTCATAACTGCAATGCGTGGATGACATTAACTCAGCGCCCCTGAACACAGAGAAGAAATGAGGGAACAGGGGCGTGGGGACCTAAGCACCAGGTTGGAAAGATGGTGAAGGGTGAAAATCTCCTGCAATGTGAATCCTGGAGCCCATATTTGAATGACTAGAAGATGAGTTGGTCTCTTAGCAGTGATGTTGTTGTTGTTGTTGTTAAGTGCCGCCAACCCAGTTCCAACTCATAGTGATTCTGAGAAGCAGTGGGTGGGTTTGAACTACTGACCTTGTGGTTTGAAGTCAAGTGCTGATCCTATAACGTCACACCAGGTGTGTCTATCTGTTGGCTTTAAGAGTCCTATAAATGTATAATTCTGATTCTTTTTTTTTTTTTTTTTAGTTCCTTACTTTGGGTGCACACTTGGACTTCTGTTTTGAACAATATAGATTAGGTGACTGAAAACCACTAATAACTGATGATGAATGGAGAGTAACCATGGGGCTTGATCAGTCCTTCGGTGAAAACCCAACAGTTCCTTACAGCTGTCCCAAACTGCTGTGGAAACGTGGATCCCCACTGTTCATTACAGACACTCAACTGATCATTTACAGTGCACCAGGCCCTGCCGTAAGTACTGGAGATAGATCTAAATAGGCCTCAACTTGAGCCTTCAATTCAGACATCAAAGCCAGTTTCCCCTTAAATTATAATGCAAGATGGTAAGTGAAATAATGGGATTTTGTCAATGTGCTGGGTGGGGCAGAATCCTGGCTCCACCACTTATAGCCTTCATGATGCTAAATAAGTTCTGGAGTTTGTTTCCTCATCAGCAAAGTATGAGTGATGTTGTTGCTAAGTGCTGCTGAGTGAGTTCTGATTACTAGCCACCCTGTATAGGGTTTCCAAGGAGTAGCTGTTGGATTTGAACCACCAATCTTGTGATTAGCAACCCAGTGCTTATCCACATCAGAACCATAGAGAGCATGTTATTGTTGTTGTTATGTGCCATGCATAGCGACCCTGTACATGAGTAGTAATCTACTGTTTGATCACTGTTGTTTGTGCCGTAAAATCAGTTCTGACTCATAGAGACCCTATAGAGTTGAGGAGCGGCTGCTGGGTTTGAACCGCCCACCTTGCGGTCAGCAGAGGAGTGCTTATCCTGAAGCAGCACAACAGTGAGGTGTATTTCTCTGGAATAAAAACTTGAGTCCGATCCCACAGAGGGGCAGCTGTCTCCTTTGAAAAACGGGGATAATTCCCTTCTCGCAGCACTGATAAGAAACTGGTAAGCAAAACTGGCGCAGGCGCTCACCAAGTGGGAGCTGGCGCTACTCAGCCGGCAAATGTGAGCAATCCAGAAAACGGCACAGGCAGGTACCAGGCGCCGGCTCGGCCTCGGATACCCGCGTGTCCGTATCCGCGTGTCAGGGGGTCTGCATGAGGCCGACAATGACCACAGGACCGGGCTTCTCCCTACCCGGCCAGGAATGCTCCAGCTGCGCGGAGAGGCGCCCAGGCAAACACTCAAAGACGAAAGTCACAAAAACCTGTTCCGAAGCCGCCCGCCTCCTCGGAAGGCGACACGGAAAACTACTTCCTTAGGAAACGCGCGTCCACAGGAATGGTGCCCAACGCGCAGGCGCACAAAGGAGAGGTCTCACGACTTCCGCTCGCGACCGGCGGGGTTTGCGTGTTGACGTCAAGAGGCGGTGTCTCGGGCGGCGGGAAGAGTCGGTGGGAGAATGGAGGCGCAGGAGGGTGGAGGTGGAGTCGGCGAGCTAGCGGCCCAGGACCCTTCCCCAGCGCCCAGCAAGGCCCCCAGCAGCGCCGGTCACTATGAGCTACCGTGGTGAGGATCCAGGCCGTTAATAAAGGGTGCATCTCGCTGTGAGATAGGGCGAATGCAGGCTCCCGTAAGCGGGCATTCGTTTGGGGGACCCGGCGTCAAGGGACGTGGGTCTCTGAACCCACCTGGGGTGGAGATTTGCGGGGGTGGTCTCAACTCGGGAAACGAAATCCCCATGGGAACGCTGCTAATCGAAGTAACAGCTGCCCCAACCGAAATGCCCACCAACCAATAAGTGAATGGATAAACAACATGCCACCCTTACCCAAGGGGATATTATTCAGCCATAAAGAGAATTAAGCCCCTATGCAGGCCGCAATATGAACTTCGACAGCATGCTGAGTGAAATAGGCCAGTCCCAAAAGGATAAATATTGTACGATCTCGCTTAGATAAAATCGACAAATATGTAGAACCCAAAGTTTACCAATGATTACTGGGCTGCTTAGGGGTACAGGTTTTTGTTAATGTTGTTAAGTGCGGTCGAGTCGGTTCCGACCCATAGCGACCCTGTATAGAGTTTCCGAGGAGCAGCTGGTGAGCTTGAACTGTCGAATTTGCAGTTCAAACGGCTTTGCAATCTGGCGCATAACGCACAGCGCCACACCAGGACTCCGTTGTTAGGTGCCATCAAATTGGTTCCGACTCATAGCAAACGTGTGCACAACAAAACGAAACACTGCCCCGTCCTGCGTCATCCTCACAATCACTTTTACACTTGAACCCATGGCTGCTGCCACTATGCCAATCCATCTTATTGGGGGTCTTCCTCTATTTCACTGA